TACCTTATATATATATATATATATATATATATATATATCATATAAGCCTCTTCCCACACATGGCAACATCCCGTGTCCGAGTTTTGTGACCATTCTTGTTGATGATATATTCGCCGCTAGTGGAATAAAAGCTATACTGGAATTCCCACCCACCCAAATGAATATCGTACAAATATGGTGTAATTATTTCCAGAAACTACGTCTGCTACCCATTGTCGGACCTAGTTAGGTAAACCTATCTAGCTTTGGGCACTGTGCTTAGAATTCACTTCTTCTGTTTCCCACATTGCATAAAAGTTCACGACAAAAAACCAACACACTAACCCCACCGCATCTGATAATTCATCTCGATAAAAACCAACCAGCATACAGACTGAGAAGAGGGTTTCTCGCCAAATCACTACAGCCACTGCGTATTCAAGACTGGTTTGTCATTGTGGTGGGAAAATATACTTTACTATGGCTTGCTTACATACCCTAATACTGTCTCTATTGTGAAGAAGGGATGTCAAAGAATGTTCGTTATTTCAAAACCAAGATTTACACCACCATCCCGGATGTCTCAGAGGTATAAATCCACTCACCTCCACTCACAGAATTACATATCTATGCCCCATTGGACAATATTAATTAATCCTAGTATTATAGAACTTAATTCCTCCTCAGCTTAATGATGTTCTACGCAGCGCATTTAACGTGATCAGACGTTTTGCTACGGGTCCGCATTTTGGGGGTGGTGTTGCATTGTTGTGCAAAGAACGATTGAGTGTGGCATGCTTTTTAACGATCAAGTAATCCCAGTCTGTCAGATTGGACCCTACTTTGCATGATCACTGAGACAGGTAATCTCATTCAGCCTGAACTTGCTCGGTTTGGGGGGAAAGGATTGAGCTGGGTATGTTTGAAGTATTCTGTGAGTTACGTACAACGTCGCTATATCTGGGTTTTGTGATTTCATGCATTTATGCCGGCCGCATTCATGTGACTGTAACATTTCAAGTTCAAGAAATTAAAAAGCTGCATGGATGGGGAAGCGTTCGGCCGTGATTCTACTCCGTCGGTTTAGGCCAAAGAGAATAATCAAGCTAGTACAGAAGCAACACTGTTCCAGCCGGTTTACTGTGGACATAAATCGTACAAGTTTCGTAAAAACTTAGAAATACTACTGTTTAATCTACTTTTCTGTATACCTCGATTGTTGCATGAACTTGTAAACCAAACATATATGATATGGAGTAAATAACCAAATTCAGCTTACGATGGCTTCCCAGGCCTGGGACTCCTCTTCGAGCTGCTCTTGTCTGAGCTTGGATTTCCTTGCCTGCCGCCGCGCTTCCTCAGCATCGTCTCTGGCTTCCTTTAATTGTTGTTGACACAGTTTTAATGATTCCATGGTTTTTCTCAAATCTCTTTCAGTCTGTTTGACGCTAAAGGGTAGAATGCAGAAATAAATTTAGCAGAAATCGACAGTTTGTTGTCATTCTTAGGGGAATCGGAGATTCTTATAGAAAACTTTGTCCTGCAAGCGAAGTCAGTCTGTGCTGAAAAGCCGAGAAGCACTTTAGAGTGCCTCCAGTAATGCACACTACACGGAACTCCAACGTTTCGAATCCGTGACTTCCGGATCAAATGTTTGAATGCAAGCGTTCGGCCACAAGAGGTTGATCGACAGCACGATTAACTCGCACTTAGACAGGAAATGGCACCCTCACACTTTGATACGGAAACTGTGAAGTCAGTCGTGCTGAAAAGCCGAGAAGCACTTTAGAGTGCCTCCAGTAATGCACACTACACGGAACTCCAACGTTTCGAATCCGTGACTTCCGGATCAAATGTTTGAATGCAAGCGTTCGGCCACAAGAGGTTGATCGACAGCACGATTAACTCGCACTTAGACAGGAAATGGCACCCTCACACTTTGATACGGAAACTGTACCATTTTGTCACTTGTTGACCGGCTCTTCGAATGAACTGTCCTTTTTCCTTTCGTTCGCCTTTGAAAACGTCATTTTCGAACGAACCTCTATTACATTGAAATAGTTGTTGTTTCAGTGATGATTCCCCTCATTTATAATCACGAAGTTTATGTTCGACCAGATGTTACTTTAGCTCTTTATAATGTTTAGTTCAAAAGTGATGAGTAAAACAAAATCATGTGTATGATATTTGTAGCTTACATTGAAAATAATCCGAGGTAATTCCGTCATTCCACTAATTTTGATTACAGGTTAGTTATCGTTTCGCAAATGGGGCTTGCGTTCGTGAGTTGCTTTCGTGCGAGTCAAAAGTATCATCCTAGTATGTCTCACTATGATTTATGCTGACAAGTATGTTTCAGTGAGAATCACACCTCAGGTAGCTAAAAATGTCTAAAATAAACCTGTCAATTCCTCCATAAATACCCTGGATAGACTCCATGAACTTCTAAGATGACACCCATTTTATAAAATATTCCGTGTACGGTTACGCATATGCGTAAGTTGACATGTTATGGACCCAAAATGCCTCCTTTTTACTCTTGCTGCTGTTGAACAAATGGGCAGCGGAGTAGCATGGACAGTTATGGTTGTTCTGAAGAAATCCCTATCAACCGAGAAAGCTATTCGCTGTACATATAATCCCCTTGGATCAATAGGAACAATGAAATTATTTTTTAAAGTTTTCCCGGATAGTGAGTGCAATTGTATTCAGTCAGTCTGTTTTCAACTGGATCAAAATGTGAGTCATGAGCCGCAATAAGGTTGGCCGACGATGCATTTCCCACGATTTCGTAAGTGAACATACTATTATGTCAGTCTCTGTACGTCTAGTGTCAAATGAATATTAAATCTTCCCTTCGAATCGATCACTATCTGATAGAATATCAGTAACAATGTTGACATCTGTGTCTGTCTGGTGAGCTCTAACCAGAAGCTAAACCAGGCCAATGTGGAGATGCGGATTAGTGTACATAAACCATGTTTGAGTGACATTCGGCAGCTCCATTTGAATAAACAGTATTTGGAGAACATTGTACCCATGACAGAGGATGGGAAACCGGCTTAAATTTACCCTCGGTTATAAGCACAATCCACTGATTTTCAAATGGGGGACAGGATCGTCTTCGGACATTTTGATCTTCAACTACATCGCCTTACCAGAAGCCCAAAACGGAGAAGCTTCTACCCCTTGCATCACAGACATGCTCAGTAATACATACGTGTCTGCCCAATAGGCTCCTTCAAGATACTGAGTCGCTCCAAAGTGTGCTGCGACCAAAAAGCCATACTGAGCCCTTCATTTAAAAGTGCTTTAGGATAGGCAAAAAATAAGCACAAACCACAGTACCAAGGTCGGTTTACCTAGAATATGCTGACACAGATGATCGTGTTTTTGGCAATTTAAACAAACTTTTCTCTGCATATATTAGCTGTGGCTTTTAGGACGAAATTCGGGCACGTCACTAAAGGAAAATAGCACCTGCTTTCTTCAAAACAACTTGCACGACTATGCCCCCATCATCCTCATCCTTGTTGGGCTAGTTCGACTGAAAATGTTATTATCAGGGAAGAAAATTAACCAAACTACACCTGTGAACAGTCTGACTGGACGGCCACGAAGTTGTAGAACTTCCTCCTCATGACATATCTGTCTTGTTCAGTAAAACCTGTCACGTGACCACTGCTAGGACCGGTGAACACAGTGGACCGTTACGGTGTTCACTGGAAGTTTGTGTAAGGTTTTCTGGTGCAGTACATCTTTCCATCAAATCAACATTCATCCTTCAACTTGAAGCAAGAACCGTTGTGTCTGTTAACATGAGAACAACTCAGTCTAAACTGTTAGCACGACAAATGTGAAAGTTTGTCCGAGTTGTTATAGCAGGAGCTAGAGAGGACCAGCGGAAATTCTTCATCACTGACTATGGACACTGCAGAAGAAACGTTGTAAGTGGGCCCGAGTGGATTCATTTTCATACAAACTGTTGTATTTGTGAGTAATGTCACGGCCGTCTTAAGCAATCAGCCAATGGAATGCGAAAATGGTCCTTTGACTGTAGACAGTTTGGTCAACATCATATCACATTAATGTCATGCAAATTATCCTTGATGGTAAAGACTGAATGCGTCAACCATATCCTATAATTAGAATGTGAACTTTAGGGTATACGACTCTGCAACTTGAAAGATGTCAAGGTTAGTCCAGCGCCTGAAAGTCCAAACTGCAGACTAATCAGAGTAGGCTGGTCACCAAGCCCAGGTTAATTAATAAATTAAATTAATTTCAAAGGTTATATTGGTATTTCGGGGACTGTAGGCGCTTGACAAGCGATACCGTCGGATTGTGATCGTTTGTTATATCCCTGAATGTATGCCTCTGAAAAAAACCTTCGCATAATCCAATCACCTACACCAGTGTTCAACGCCCGTTTTACCTGGGTACCCTGCCACACGCGTTGTACATTAACTTGAACGTAGTAACTGGAGCGAAGAATGTTTTTGACCAGATGGTCGTGGAGAAAATTATCAGACAGAGAGCGCGTTTGAGCGGAGAATTTATATTCGGTGAACGAGATAATCTAATTGAGTAGGAATCACAAACTTGAGCTTACAAAGTTAATTTCCATTATCCAGCATCTGCATTCAGCATGAACTGGATGAAACCTGTGAAGATACTTGTCCAGTATGGGTAGGAAAGGTACTCAATGAAATTGAGCACGAAATAACTTGTATAAACATCTCCGTTTCTGGTTCTACTTACCGCTCCAGCTCCTTAAAACGAAGTAATCGCTGATCTTCACGGTGCTCCAACAAGGAACGTTCGGGTTTTTCAAGCATCCCAATCCACTCACTCCAAGTTGCTGGAAAGAAATTTGGATCGAATTAGATACAGGTGTCAGTCGTGTCCATATACACAGTCAACTATTTGGGATAAAACAGTATCACCGAAAATATAAACAATGGTACTAAAAAAGTAGCAGCCACTTCGTTGGCATTTGAAATTGGAAATGGTTCAGTGACTTCTTATGGGAATTCGTGAGCACCTGAGTAGCAGTAGTAGTAGTAGTTAGGTTGAAAATAACCGAACGTTGGCTCATGGATTTTCGGAATGGAAGAACATGTTTTGCAGTTTGGTTTCCAAATGACAGTTAGATTATTCCAAAAGATTGTCAAAAGAGCTTCAGGGTAGCTTGCGCATGACCTCGCAGATTCGACTTTCGTTCTGTTCTTCAAAAAGAGATCATTGATGAAACTCGCGACTGTGTTAATCTTGAAGGCTGCTTTTGCTGGGTGCAGCCAAGATTTGTCACTGTAGATTCATTATTAGCAGTCCCAATAAGAGACGAATATTCTGTTGAAAAGCCGCATGGTAATTGCTATAGCCCGGTGAACCACTTTCCTAGAAAAAAAGAATCACTCACCATAAGGTCAATTTACTCGTCTAGGAAATTCGGCTTGCAACCGATACCTTTTTGATGAAACGTCCTTCATTTTCCAAAAGTAAGCACCCCAACGTCTTTGGTAAGCAAAGACCTTCCTGAGTATGAAATACTCGCATCATTTGTTTGCATCTTGATACCAGTTAGGTACCCGACAAATGAGCTGAAAAACAGAATTGTACCTCAAGTTGTCTGTGTATTACACCATGACCTTAAACTACATTTCGCATAGCTACTAAATCCTTCTGCTTAAAATGCCACGGGAAAGAGATAACATAGCGAACATTTTTGGAGTTTATACAGCGGTTTATTCCATCCTAAAAGAGACCAGTCCCAGAGGGAACCGTCTGCGATTAATTCCATTAGGTTGTCCCTGAAATAGGAAAACTGAGCACACGGCTTCTGCTCCAAGGAGATCATTTGGAACGCCCAGTCAAAATGCAAATTCCCTTAAAAAATCACAGTATTAGGCTTGTCACCTTATGAAGAGGTCGTTTCGTGTGATCAATATTTGTCTGTTTGTGGTTTCGTCTTCTGTGTGACAGAGGTCAGATTCACTCCAAAGGGTCGACAAAAATGCTCTCTCCTAGGGCCCCTTGTCCAAGTCTTTGTGGAATAGATATAGGTGGCTTTTGTTGACTTTACTGTTTTAAGGCATGCAATGTTGATGCTATGCATGTCCAGAAGCACTGCGGTTATTGGAAGCTATGAATTTATTGAACTAGTATTCCTTCCCTGAGGCCAGAGCAAGCTAGTCGTTTCCTATGCAAGTTTTACCAAGAACGACAATGAAATCATAAAAACCCTTTTGATGAAGGGACAACAGCAGTCACAAGAACAATCGCTCGGTAGTCGAAGCTGGCAGGCCGAGTAGTTGTAAGCTGCATTGTTTTAGCCAACAGCCTGCTACTCATGAAAATACGGCTCCGTTATTCGACTACCTTCGGTTCAGAAAAAATTCAGTCGGTGTTCAAGAAAAGAGAGTGCACCAACCGCTCACAGTGGTTTGCAGTAAAGAGGAAAGGTGTCAGTGGAAAGGTTGTCTGTACCCTTAAATAGTCCAACCTTCGGAGATGCAACTAAATCTTTGAAAGTTTAGTCCGGATGATGATATTTTGAAGTTTCCGGTAGACATACTTCACTTCAACACAAGTAAGGATTTCCGACTTGTTACATGCGCTTGCTCGGACATCGGGGCTTTATTTCACGATTTTGTAAGCCGTCCAAATTTAGGGGATTTACTTAATGACGCAATTGTGAATCTGCACGAATCAGGTTGTTTTGTACAACGAAATGGATGCATAAACAGTATAGATGCACAGCGAAATCTTCTGGATGAAATAAACATCACGAGAGACGAGGTAAATGCAGCGCCCACTTGGACAAAAACGATAGCTATGAACAAAAATACCAAAATTGTAACCAAAAACCTGCCCAGTGGGTTTCAAGCGTGTGCCACGCTACCTAACTGGGAAGTCCTGACTGGCGGGTTAATCGATCGTCACAACCAGGACAGTTACTGTGTCATCGTTCGATGAGTCGAACACACCAGTCACATAGCTCAAGTGACAACACGTTCGCCTGTCCAGACGTGATAACGTGCGTTGGACATGCTCGCCTCGCATGTCAGAAGTCCGGGGTTCAAATCCTGGCACGGCCATTGGATATGCACTGCTGATGAGCTCTAATAACAGCGAAACTCGAGTCCAGTGCTCCCCTTTGGTGTGGACTCACCGGAATAATTACGCCAAGACAGGACCACGACCGTCCAAACGAGGGTGGTGTGGCTATGAACAAAGATAGTATTTACCTTGTGAATCGGCGTGGAATCCACTGGCATCTCTTGCAAAGCCGGACAAATGAGAAAACACTTCAGTGAAAAAGTGCCTCTTTACCTAAGGAAGTAAAATAGCAAATAATTAAATAAATAATAAGGGAAAGTTGCATTAAAAAGAAAATCAGCTGACTTTCTCATTTGCTTCATCCTCATTTGCGAACGAGTGTTGAAGTATCTAAGAAAAACCACCTTTTTCGTCGAATAATATACAAGATCTAGAATACATAGTACAAAAGTTGTCGTAAGAACGCCGGACTTATCTCCAACCCCGTAATTCTATGACCCTAACAGCTTTTATCCGGTACTGCATTTGCATCCGGAAAAAAAATGAAACTCGACCAAACGTCACTGTTCAACAGCTGCCAAATTTGTGGCATTGAGCTCCCAAAAACCCACACGGATGCACTGAATCTGTTCAGTGCGACAACTAAAAAGGTTGACGCTATTTTTGTCGTAGGTAGTCACGACAATGTTAGCTCAAAAAAATTCAGTTGGTTGGTCAGCTGCTACACAGACTACGTCGGTGTGAAAACTTCCCAATTACTCCTGTTTTTGACGAGAATCGTTGAAGGATGCTGAGGGAACCTGGCAGATTCGTAATTGTGATATAGAGCCGAACAAATAGATTTTACGGAAATGGCGTCTCATTTTGTACTTTTTACGCTATAACAACCACCAAGCGAACCTGAAAAAAAGACAGTGTCCCTTAGTTCATCTTCTAAACTTCTCTAATCATAAACGAGTGATTTATATAAATACTACTGACTTTTTGCGCTTCGGCAATGGCTTTAGCTGTCCACCGCACTTTCCAGATCCCCTTTTGGATTTTGACAAGACATATCTAATCGGTCTCCCATTTCTTAAAATCGCATTACTTATTTCCTTTCACTGTGCCCAAAAGACCTACATTTTCTGAGCATAGCACTCTACTTTCAATAACTGCAAAGTTGTTTACCGTAAACAATTCAATTAACTCTTTATTCCAGGTTGTACATTAACCTACAACCGATATAATCACCGCTGTAGCGTTTGATGCCGTTTCCTACAATTTTGCCAGGATCACCTTCCATCCTCTTAAGTATTGCTCTAGTTATGTATGCACTGCCCTCTGTTCACATTGATTTGCATTAGTCCAATGGACAATCTGAACTATTGGGATCTTACTGGAAACTATGTGCCCCCGAAGGGGTCGGCGTGGTGCATTCTTCCTCGTAAGGACTCTGACTTCATCAGACACTTTCGTCAGAGCTAATACGACTACCGAGGTATGTAAAATTTTCCACAACCCCCAGTGATTTTCCTTGAATGGTTTGTAAATTTTCCACAACCCCCAGTGATTTTCCTTGAATTGTAAGCGTACGTTCGGCGACTGCACTTTTCATTTAAATCTTCCTGTTTCCCGCCTTAAAGACTGTGCGTTGTCCCTGAAAAGAATCTGGTTGATGACATTTAGGATCCATAGGAAATCTGGCTAAAAGTCTGTGTATTTGTGCACTGAATGAAGTGCACTATTCATCTGCGTAACAAATTCACTTCATAAAAAATCGAAAAAGGTGATTGCGCTTTGTATATTATTAGGCCAATACAACACAAGAAACCTATTCACACCCACCATAAATTTGATGTCATCAACGTGCAGCTTCCTTGCCACCTCACGAACTCGCCTGATAAAGGATTTTGTCGGTATATCGTCTGTCCCTGTGAGGTTTTCTTCGTCCAAGAACCGACAGTCCGGTACAGGCTCGGTACTAGTCCAAATAGTTCGGTGTGTCGCCTGTGGCACTAGCCTGAACAGCCCTTCGTTTGGAGCACGAAGCCATGCCAAATAGAACAGGATTGACATCACACTGCACAGCACTTGCGTCAGCGATTGCTCCACGGGAGCACTACCGACCAGACATAGCACAATTTGATCCCACACGAAGAGCAGGACATCCGGATCAAGGAAGCCTAGGTTAGTGTAAATGGAAAACAAAACAGTCTTCATGTATTTAATAGGAATGATATATTCACTGAAAACTCTAGACAGCCCATCAACGGGTCCTATCAGACAGGTCTGATCTCTGAATTTCCATCAAACTTATTTGGCACTGAAACACCTGTTTTTTAGTTAAGGTGCGCTAAACACTAGACTGTAAATTTGATTGATATCGAGTGGAGACTTAGAACCTCCTGCTGTTTAGCTCATTTGTAAATTCACAATCATGGATGAAAACATGTTTTTTCAAGGTCATCCTACTGAACATTCAAGGCCCAGTGCTGTTTGTAATCTGATCGGGGAAGTCCAAGAAGCAGGATAACTCAGGCTTTTTTATGTGCATCAGAATCGGCCTAAATGAAGAAGTACTGATATTGTATTCTTGACTGGCGGTTATGAACTGATGTAGTTCATCTTTGCACAAAGAATGACATATTCTCTCTGTTCTGGGATACTCCGAGAGTTTTGTAAATACTTATATTATTGCATATATAAATATTTCCTTAACAAGGCATGAATATTCAGACATGGTACTTCATATTTTTATCGTTACCTATCCAATCAAAGATAGAACAATTTTCTTACAGTTTACTTCACTCAAACATCTCCTGAGGGCACAATCGACTTTTGAGTATTCAGATTATGTGTGAAAAACTTACCACTAAACAGTGACTCCACAAGTGGCTCGACAAGCTCGTAGATGACTTCCGAACAAAGGTGGTCTTGGCGACCCATGTCCTCGACAAGAACAATCCCTGAATGGCGGTACACAAAAAGAGAAAGACACTACTAATCCCAACAAATGATAGAAATACTGTCAGTAATATCATACATATGTAGCAGAAGTACGCACGGATAAAAAAGTTCAACGGAACTTCCACTGTCGTTTGCCGGCGTGCAGTTATGACAGAGCATGTCCTTGCATTTCTCAGAACATTACACAGTCCAGTCAACAAGAACAATTAGTCAAAATTGTTTGATGCGAATTTGAGTGTATCGGGTAGCATGAGCATTTTCAATAGTAAGTCCAGCAAAACGGTTAAAATAAAAGCAAAGTTGATACTTCATCTACAAATATTTACATATATTAATCGAGGTAACAAACTAGAACCCCATCTAACCAAGCAGCGTCGGATATACGCAACTTACAGATGACTATCCATACGCCCAAACACCAATCCGAACTAACCTCTTACGACCACAATCTCATTTACAACCTCTGAAGCCATCTTTGCATCAATTTTACGTAAATTTTGTAGAAGCAGGACACCAAACATTTTTCGTCCAACCTTCCAATCAACTTCCGCTACTGTAGCCATATTGGAATTGTGATGCAGGTGCTTTGGACGAGGCCGGAATTTTCGGAACCATGTTGCCGGCTGATGAGTCAAGTAGCTTGGCATCTGTGAGACCAGACTGAAAAACTCCTCAATCAGGACGGTGATATCTTCCAATTCTGGTGGTTGGGTTCTTCATGCATAAGTGAAAGAATTTGAGGTTAGGTCAAATTACAGCAAACGGTACAACCAACAAATTACTTGGACTTGTGAAGGAACTGTAATGAGTTTGTGCACACTTTTTATCACGAGATTTATTACAGAATTATCTCCATCCAAAAAGTTTGGTTAAACAGATGTCTGCATCATCAGCAATATCAGAGTGTCATAGAACGTAGATAGCTTCGGAGCACTGCCCGAATCCGGTGGGAACACCGGATCAGCAATTCTGAAGTACGTCGAATGATATTCGGGAGAAATAACCCGTCCCCGATAGATGAACTAATCACACTGCATAGATGGCGCTGGATTGGCCACGTGCTGCGTACGCCAGTCGACCGACTTCCTCAAAGGGCTCTTTTCGCACAACCACGTGAAGGGTGGAAGAGGGCCACAGGCGATCAAACAATGAGTTGGTAGTGAAGTATAAAAGCCATTACAAGCAAACTCACTTGCGCTGGTCAATGCAATCTTCCTGGATGGGGACCCCTAGACGGGCCACATAAAAGTTAGAGACATTTTCAGACATGGGCAAGTTGCGCCCTCAGTGGTGCTCATGGAATCAAGATATTACCTTCAATGCATAGCTCCCTTACCAATTCCCCCACGAAACGGTGCATTAAAAATGCTAAATTTACGGACCACTTTATCAGCCCCCACCTCCAATGCGCAGCTACCTACCCCAACTCTTTGAATCATCGATGAACGAAACTGTGGCAGCTACAACCACTGTGCGACAAGTACGCTGTTATTACAGCTGACTATGCTGATGATGAGATCATCTTCTCCCTTCCCCTTGTCCAACTCAACCCTTCGAAATGCGCAGCCAATATGACTGCACAAGCAATTTTCATCTTTCTACCATACTCAGTATGGATAACTAAATCGTGTCAAGGAGGGAAGTTCTAAAACACAAAGCTTTATGAGATGTTACATGTAACTGGCGATATTCAATCTTCTACTAAAATTGACCCTGTTTTGCTTCTTCAGTCCTACTGTTTTATCGACTGAAAAAATGCCAGAATGGATATCACAGACTCTAAAATCCGGTATATTTACTTTATAGAGTGACACGAGGGTACTGAAAGTGAAACACTGTCTCTGATTTGAGAACCTCATAATTCAAATTCTGGGGACAACAAAATGACACACACAAAAATCGAAGGGTAAATTATGATCTCTTGTAAAAATGCACTCCGTTTGTTTGCCGACCGTTAGTCTTAGTCACCTGAAGTCTCTATTCCTGGTTCCTCTCACTGTTTGCACTATCGTACGGTCAGTGATCAGACCTCACCCCTTCAGAAACAAGTGAATTGCTTGAAGGAGCAACTTATTCACAAGTTTCATGTAAGCACTGAGAACCTAAGACCAGCTTCGCCATTCTCTTGGTTCACCAAAAGGCCTGATTCCCAAGTTTACTTCAACCATATACCCTACTCTAACACCAAGTTCCACGCAATCCGCGAACTTTATTTATTAGAAAATGGATTTGATTTTGACTGGACAGTCACCTGATTCTCCACCAGGTCGCTATGTAATACTTTTGAAACGACTGTGTTGCACAAGAACCGCCTTAAGTTGTAGTCGGTACGATGTTTGATATATCGCACTCTTGTTTCTTGGGAGGAAAAACTGCTCTTATGATTCTTGAAAACTTACCAGTAAAGTTTGTTGTGAAGCGTTTGTTGACGAGAAACCCGTATGAAGGAAAACACGAAATGCCAACAGTCACCAACCCTTTGCCTCTGGAATAAATGTTCTTCCAACTAAACTGCTGATGGTACTGCTCGTCGCCATACTTATAAACATGGACTTAGTGTTCACTACCACTTAGTTCACCGCATCTCTGCATAATGGTGGACCCCGTGTGTGGATTCAATGGTGAGATGGGTGCTGATAATCTGGTACACTAGTATGGAAGGAAAGGACACTCTTGGTGCACTTTGAATGCGGATTCGCAGTCTAAACAGCATGAATGTAACTGGACGGTTCGCAAATAGTCTCATCTACTGCACCTCATATTACTCACCTAGATATGGATGAAGATTTGGAGAATAGCACCTCAGGATCTTACCTTGGTAGGAAATCCCTCATCGCCAGAACAAATGCTGCAGCCATTCGCACGTGTGCTATGCTCACGTCTTCCGCTGCGTTGCAAGCAATATGGAAGAAGGACAAAACACTTTTCATCGCGTATAGGCAGCCAGCTGAACCTCGCAGCGAAGCCATTGTTGGATCACTATTGATGAATTCTTGGCACATTCTAGATATAGCTTCATCACGTGTGGACTTGGTTTTGTCAACATCATTTCTGAGTAAGTCTACGTAAAGTAGCCGAACTGGAACAACGAAGTGAGAAATTTTTGAAGCACCTTTTTAATAGGTTGTGATGCTTTTGTTGTACCACTAGTTATGCACAACTACGTTTCAGAAGAGTCCGTTTGACTGCGCAAATCAATCAAAATAGCTAGAATACTTGTTTCCCAAACATGTACAAAAGCTCCTCAACACAAATTTTCTGTTGTGTTTTGAAAATACTGTGGAACGATCACATCGTGTCTTGGAAAAATTACATCATATTTGGCAGCGTACTGACTGGTACACTTATGCATAATTTTTGCTTTGAATTGGATTAGTTCCCTCATTGCGTTGTTTTCGTGTGTCAACCCACCAGTACAACTTCCCACGGAAAATTTTAGACTGAAAAATTTGTGCCATTTCCAGGAGCAGTTGGACATATGGATGATGTGATAAAATACTGCTTAATTGTTCAGGATCACTCCCGCTCTCATTTCTATTCAATATCTTCACAGAGTCACATTCTGACATTAGAAAAAGAATAGCAAGTTAAAGTAGAGACCCGTGATTTTCATTTGTATTTAAAAGTACCTAAGCAAAAACTGTAACATTCATATACCATTTATTAGCAGAGTATCTAAAGCAAGCAAACTCTAACTTGCTTACCTCTTTCATTGGCAAGAATTAGCCGCCAGATTTGCCTCCTAAAATGAGGCCCCTGAAGTGTCTGATTGAAAAAATAGGAAGGCAGTTTCCCGCGAAATATGGGATATTTGGTCAGTAGAGCGATAACACCTTCACGTGCTTCAGCAGCTAACAGATCAGCTCGACTCGGAAACACGTAACTGGCTACACCAGCAGCCGGAGAACGTGAGACCGTTAGGTTTCCCGCTAACAGTTTTGTCCAAGGAGCTATTGGCTGTGGATGGAGCACGGTGTCGAAATGAAGTGGATGATGTGGACTAAAGAACCGGCTGTCGACCTCTCGTCGGAGGTTTTCAGTGAGTATTTGGCACAGTTTTTTGCACAATGTTAAATAACCTGTGCCTACAAGATGGACAGCAAAAGGTCGAATTAAAGGTTATCTCAGAGAATTTTATTCACAAAACTGCTTTCAAATAATTGAAGTATAATCTAGATGTAACAGACAAGACAAGCGTAAATGAATCGTCTAATTACGTTCAATTTATTCCATACAAAGGGTCAGTGATACACTAAGTAGGGTTTATTCCTTTGATATTGTTTCTGCGGATATCAATCAACGTTGTCTGAATACGCTATAAAAACATGGAGAAAAATCCGTAAAACTAAGTGGACCTCGCTTATTTCTTTCATTCCATCAGAATAAACAGATAAAGGATGTTTGAACGTATTGTTATGCACAGACCAATAGGTTCGAAAGATAGATTGAAACTGGTAACAACTCTTTCTAAATAATTGTTTTTTTTTTCTGTAAATGAACCATTCCTACCAGCGCGTAAGCCATGCAGTCAACACCCGAGTATGCAGCAAGCAGCCAAAACTGGTCAGCTGATATCTATTTGTCATAGGTTCTCTAGAAACACCGGGTAATTATTTCTATCAATGTTCATGAAATTAAAATCATGGTCAGAAATATTGTGAATATAGCAGTGTTTTGCAAAACCACGCTACCACCAACTTTTAAATTTGTTGATCCTATCCATCAAGACGTCGAGCTTCCAAACTATTTCTAAAAAATAAAGGAACTTGGATTACGAACGCATATACTCAGCGTCTGTTGCTTTAGTAGAGAATCCGTAAAAGTCATATTTTGAATTTTGTTGAATGTTTGTGACTTCCTAATGTGATGAAGTTTTATTCCATGAGGTTATAAACCGTAAAATGGTGTCAGTTGGCACTTTTACTGTTTACTGATAATAAAAAAGATTCAGGATTTTTTCAGTTTATATTTCATCCTGTGAAAATTGATTCTATACCAAAAAACTTGGAAAAACCCACTATATATCTCTTCCGTCCTCTTTCGGTATGTTCGGTGGCGTGCCTCCCAATTACTGCCTCAATAACGTGCAAATAGTGAAACGGAGGTAAGACAACGCGCTTAGCAGTTTGTATAGAGCTAATGTGTAGTTGTTGGCAAGTCATGTTAAACAAACTCTGTTACCAAATTTGAATCATCGACCTCGTCCGCTCAACATCTATAAAGAGTATTTACCAAGACCTTATGTCTACAAGATGTCTTCGCAAATCATCACCCCTAAATTATATTTTTTTATATGCCGAATGATATTACTGAATACCCATGGTCATTTGGATCTGTAAGGCACTAAAGCTGGTAATATGAATTTCTGACGCTCTTTTTAAAGGTACCCTATTTCCACCCTATTTCCACGGGACTATTTGTATTAGCTGAAAAAGGACTGCCAAGCGAGGCGATGGATACAATACAGAAGAACATTGCCATCTAAAAAACTTATAAAATGAACATTAAAAGCCAATTCTTAGTCTAAATTTGCACGTGATCTTACAACAAATCTTTTACTACAATATTGTTGTTGTTGTGTACAAAACACTTTGTGCATGATTTTTCCACCTCAGTTGACCAATTTGAGATTCAGAAAAGAGTTTGTGGAACAATGAAACTTGGTGAGATTAAACAGAGTTTTTCCCACGACATGGATTTAACTATGAAAACAGATCTCAAGGAGACATACGATCATGAACCATTCTTTTCTGCGAATCCAAAAAGGATACGACGACCTTTGAGTCAATAAAGTGCTTTCTTAGTTAAAGGTGGACGGGTCTTTCAAGATAAAATCACTAGTAGTCTCTTTTAATAGACAGCTATCTATTAGTATTTTTCATTCGAAAGCTAAGCTTCACAGACAGTAGGTGGCTTAGTGTAAACACCCCCATAAAGTGACATTTAATCCATGACGTCTAGATTACATTCCCTGAGGCGTTGTACAATATTTAGGCCGGCTGTGGGGATTTACAGTTTGATAGTCCAAATCTTCTGGGATAGAGTTATATTAAATAACTCGATAAAAGAGTATGTCATACGTTTTGGTCTCTGGATGAATCCGAAAGAGAGGTATACTGTTCTTAGTGAGTTAACAACTTGTTGTTGAAAAATAAAGAACCGTTTCAAGCGACTTGCTTTCCTGCTCTTTGTGAAATTATCATTCGCTTACTGTTGGATTGCCTAGACTTTTGTTGGGTAAATTTCTTTACAGTTATTTTTTCAAGCCAAATACCGTAGCTGACTTTGTTTGGGTTGTAGCTCTCTTTAGAAGCGTGGCATGAGCGTGTTTGTAATCCATATGGATCTGATGCATTTGAAATATCTGTTTGAAAATCAATAGCCTGTGCATATCCGTGCAGCCTCGATTAATCAGAAGCGAAATATTTGAATAAAATTAATTAACAGTAATATGATTACTTGCGAGTAGGCGTTTATTAGACGAAACGACTCGATTGCGAAACCACAAATAACTAGAAGTGCAGACCTGAGATAATATTAACGCAAAGATGGTTGCCTAGTTAAATAATTTTAAGAGCTATCAATGAATTATTGTACAAAACACACTACCAGCATATTAAACTAGCTAATGTAGGTGTCAGTTTTCCCGAGGCGAGTTGTTTGTTACAGTGACAAAAACTGTTTCTCACTTGGTCATACGATACTTCCATCTTCTATTTTAGAGGTTTCACAAACCAGTCCTATCAAAAACTAGCGTGAAGGAAAACAAGACCTCACAGCACTCAGTCTAAGCCGCGAAGAATAACAGCCACCCAATGCTACACTGTACAACGCTTATCATTCACAGGATAGGGAGAAATCCCAAGTACAGCTCACCTAGATGAACCACCGGATGCGAAGCACTGAAGCTCTAGGCGAGATTGCTCTAAAGCTGACGGCTAATGATATTGAATGTGTGGCAAAAGGACCCTGAGATTCTGTTACAGGAGGTGCGATATTTGATATGAGATATGTCATTCGGTGGAGTCCCTGAAGTGTAAGAACTAAAACTGGCAAATATGAGCTGCATACCATGATAAAGGCTAGCGCAAACAATTGGAACAACGCGATAAATGGACTGTTGGTTGTGTTGAGCAGTGGAGGCGTTGACAGAGATAAACGTGAGTTGAATTAAGACAAGATCAAGAAACACAGAACAACTGTGCCACGTACGACAAAGAATAACAAAGGATATACGAAGACTTCAGGGCCGACTGAGCAAAACGCCGACAAAGTAAGCATATTTTTGCATCGATTGGATGTGTGGACGCTCAGCTGATGGCTTACGCCTACAAAGGGCAATGGAAAAGAGACAATTTGGCATTCTTCTTTACTAAGATACTTGAAGGAGTTTTTCTGTGACCTAGAAAAACGACGACAGAGTGGGCCAGAGATGTATAGGACTCAGACGAAACATTGCGAGAGAAACTTATGATGGCGCTGCTCTAGTGAGATTCAAGAGACCAGACGGCTTGCCCATCACCATCATTTTCAGCTGTAATAAACGCGTACCTACTTTCTTACAAGGGACTAGCGAAGAACCACCCTGAAAGCTGAGTTCCACTTGATTGGGATGAAAATCATGAGATGGATGAATAATCTTCAGCACCCACATGAATTTCAACCTAATCATTCTACCAGTCAGCATAGATCTACAAACAACAGGTGGTGCAGAACCAATTTTCAAATAACTGCAGAAAAATAAGCTACAGGAGTGATACTTGGAGTTCACTCATGTGGTGTGTACATGGATATTGCAAAGACCACTCCACCTCATCCTCTTTAGGGCTAATGATTTTTTATCCATATTATGGAACGGGATTATATATGTTCACCGGGAGTGCTGTTTTAGTAATAGGCTGTCTAAGCCCCTTAAATCAAGTACAGGCGTATTGTACAAGCCACCTAAAGGGCTAAATTTGCTCGAGATACACATCAATATGGTTCTAAACACGGCAGGCGCCAAATGCTGGAATTTGCGGATGATCTTAAGATGCCTAAAGCTGTGATAACCGCTGGTATGAAGCAGAATCTTTAGTAGAAACAACTCATATCGCCAGGTTGATTTGTATGGAACAGCGACATAGTGCTTTGGAGCATTGCCGCCCCTACACACAGAATTTGTCCAGAGTAAGGCGTGCGTTTATACGACCAAATTTTGCAATACGGAATATCGATATGCACTCCATTGAACACAGGCGATCGTTATGAGCTAGGGATAATTCAACAAACTATCTCGGAACTATTCTTGGGTTTTCTGAATGACCCAATATTTATATAAACCTCATCTCTAAGCAAGAATAACGATCGGTGTTTAGTTGCTCGAGCAATAGGCACGGACGTGAAGCCTACGATCGCTTAACCACACACTCCATCCACCTTATCTGATACTGGGTACATGTGTGCGCTGTCAACAGTGGTAAGAGCTGGTTTCTTTATCTGGAACTAAAAATTAGGAGTGGGATGTTACCGGGAGCGCTCAAAATGAGTTTTGCAGCACTTTTCGTGTTACAATATGCGATGGTGCGATAAAGAGCATATAGACGCTGTAGAAACTTACTCCCCGAGAATTTTTCAATTTCTTTTAATAACACATTCTCTAAATCGCATGCCATAAGTTCCTTTAAGTTTGCAATGTTATATTGTTTCAATGTTTCCCGTAAGGAAACCTCCATTTCTGATAGGTAACTATGCCATTCCTAGAAAGTAACTTTTCGTTGATGCAACGCACTTCAGATTTCAAGGCAGATTGTAAGCTCTGGAGCAACCACGGGGGGAAATTAACTCCCTGATTTTCATCCGTTGGCATGATCCAAAATGTAACTGATTGGCGCACAGGACCATTGATGCACAAAAACAACTCTGGTTAGATTCAGATCAAGGAGTACAAACTAGCCTAACTCAGTTTCCAGGAGATGACTTTTTATCGCGTAGCCCTGCGTACACGGACACCCTAATGATCTCGGGTGTGCCAAGGTAAGTCGAACATAGAAACGTCCCAGCATCAACAAGAGGGCACAAAACTTAGGCCTTGAACCGATTTTTA